TTTTTTTTTTTTTTTTCCATATGGGGTCTTGCTATATATATATCCTTGCAGCAAGTTCTAGGATTACAGGCAAGAGCCATCATGCCTGGCTTGAGTTGATTTTTTTTTTTAAGAGACTGGCCTAAACTGGATGTGCTGGGTGGGGCATATTAAAAATCAATGTATGTACTTTAGATAGCTGGGATTTTATTTTTGGAAATTTTATGGAGAAATACTGACTTCAAGCTTTTTGTATTACTCCCACAGGAGTAACAGTATCACTCTACCATGTAAGAAATTTTCACAGGATTTTCAAAATGGGTTTACATAAGTTTCTCCCCAGTAAGATTTGTCATGTATTTGACAATACACGTATACTGAAAGCATTCTCACATTGCTTATATACATATGGCTTCTCCCCATTGTCTTTGGCAAACACCACAAATGCTGAAAGCTTTCCTGCATTGCTTACATGCATAGAATGCTGTGAGTGCTTTCATGTATTTTACAGTAACATTGTGTACTAAAAGCTTTTCCATTGTTTACACACATAGGGTTTCTCCCATGTGAATTTTTTCATGTATTTTACGTCATGTACATGTACTAAAAGCTTTCCCACATTGTTTATATATACAGGGTTTCTGTGTGGATTCTTTCATGCTGTTTACAATTATCTTGTGTACTAAAAGCTGTCCCACACTTCTTACATACATAGGATTTCTTCCTGTATGAGTTCTTTCATGTATTTCTTGTGTACTAAAAGCTTTTCCACTTTGCTTACATACATGAAGTTTACTCCTGTGCAAGTACTTTTATGTATTTTACAGTAACATTGTGTACTAAAAGTTCTCCTACATTCCTTATATATATAGGGCTTCTCCCGTGTAAATTTTCATGTACCTTACAGTAATATTGTGCCCTAAAAGCTTTCCCACACTGCTTACAGTTTCTCCTCAGTGTGATTTCTTTCATGTATTTTACAATAATCTTGTGTACTAAAAGCTTTCCCACATTGCTTACATAGGGCTCCCCCGTGTGTATTCTTTCATGTTGTTTACAATATTGACACCTACTAAAAGCTTTTCCACATTGCCTACATACATAGGGTTTCTCCCCATTGTGATTTCTTTCATGGATTTGAACATCATTAGGTGTGCTGGAGACTTTCAAATTTTTCTTATATATAAAGGTCTAAGGTGAGTTCTTGCACTAAGATCAGAGTAGGATTTCCCACATTGATCATATTCATAGGGTTTTCCTATAATCTTTGTTCTTGCATGCTTCTGAAAGGACTGAAAATCATATTCTTCTATGTTCATTACATTTACACAGCTTCTCTTCCAATCCCAAGTACTCATATGTCTTCAGTTCAGTGTGAGCTATAATGGGCACATTTAGTGACAAATACCTAATCAGGGGCTTTCTGAAAGCAAGGCTTTCAGCTGGTTTTAAACCACCCTGTTTCATCTCCACATTAGCATCTGGAGTCCAAAGGAGTATTTCTTCATATTGATTCCAAACTTTATTTTGGTAGCATTTCTCTACCTCTTCATTTCTTAGAATTCTCCAATAACTTTTGTACTCTTCTTCAATTTTCTGGTTATCCCAGGCTCTTCCTGTAGCAGCCATTTTCCTGAAAGCCTCCCTCATCATATCTCTGTAGAGCTTTTTTTTGGAATGGATTCAGCACCTCCTTTCACTTTCTGCTTCCTCGTTATCACAGGATAAGCAACTTTCCCTCACAATAATCTTTCACTATGCCTTTTTTTTTTGGTACTGAGGATCGAACTCAGGACCTTGTGCTTGCAAGGCAAGTGGTGGCAACACTGAGCTAAATCCCCGGTGTCTCACTATGCCCTTTCTACTTTATAGGCAATCATACACTGAACCCACTGGAAACTGTGAGCCAAACAAACCTTTCTTCCTTTAAATTGTGGGTGTTAGGTAGCGGGTCCCAGTGATGGAAAAGTGACCAATATAGAATTTTTTTTTGTTTCTGTTTTATTTAGGAATTGTGCCCAATATTATACTCCACAGAATAAAGCAAGGGACAAACGCAGACCTGGCTATCCGTTGCCTGACTATGGCAAGTTGTTAGCCACTGGGTCTACAATATCAGAAGAAAATGCATTATTTAGGAGAGTAAGGAATTTACTGAGGCAGGTAGGAGGAAAACTTATACAAGGCATAATACAAAATTACAGAAGCTGATTCTGCAAATGCTGGGTTTCATCAGTAGGAGCGAATGGCAGGGGGAACCGTGGCACAATCAGTCTCATTTAAGGTCTTGTCAATGACAGGCCTGTATTCCAGGGTGACCTTGAAAAGAAGAGTCAGGGAAAGTTAGAACACAGGAGTATACAAACAGCTTTCTCCTGTGGTGCTTCCAAGAAAATTTATGAAGTATAGTTTCAGGAATAGGAACTTGAGTCATAACCTATAAAGTGATCAGTATATACAAGAGGGCTGGTTACATTAATCCATAAGTAAATTCATACATAAATTCAACATGGGGGGCTGGGGATTTAGCTCAGTGATTCCACCGCCTGCCTTGCAAGCACAAGGTCCCAAGTTCGATTCCCGGTACCAAATAAAAAATAAAAAAATAAAAATTCAACATGGCAGGAAAGAGCAATTAAAGTAACACTGCACAAGGTTTTGGGCATAGTGGCATGCCTGGTGCCGGGCATGGTGGCACACACCTCTAATCCCAAGACCTGAGAGGCTGAGGCAGGAGGATTACCATGAGTTTAAGGCCAGCTTGAACTACATGGCCAAAGTCTGTCTTAAAAACAAACAAACAATCCGGGTGTGATGGCGCATGCCTGTAATCCCAGTACTTGGGAGGCTAAGACAGGAGGATCTCTGTGAGTTCCAGACCAGCCTGGGCTACATAGTGAGTTCCAGGTCAGTTTCAACTACACAGTGAGACCCTGTCTCAAAAAACAAACAAACAAACAAACAAACTTCATGCTTTGCCACTGTCATACTTAAATTCCTACTTGAAAGTGAATATTTATACACAGAAGTATGTACTCATAGGAAAGTGTAAGTACACATATACATAAAATTTGGAGGAAATATTTAAAACCATAATGGGTGATCTCTGATTGGTGGGCTTAGAAATATTTGTTCTGGTTTGTGTTATACTTTCCATATTTTCCAAAATGAGTATTTCTTTTATGATCACTCCCTGCTTGTTAAAGGAGGAAGTCTGACTTCCGTACAATAACAGGAAAAGGCCCTCATAGTAAATTCTGAAAACAACCGAGTTAAGACACACTAGACTTTTATATAGTGTGACAGTCTTCACCTTGCTTTCTAAAAATGCAGATAAATGATTATAAGACCATCTCTTACAAGCCACGAAAAGCTTAAAGGTAAAAGTTATCTTAATTTATTTCAGAATTTTTTTTTTTTTTGGTACCAGAGATTGAACTCAGACCCTTGGCTTGTAAGGCAGGTGCCAGAACCACTAAACTAAATTCCCAGCTATTTCAGAATTTTAATGCCCAGAGAAATGTTAAATGGGAGATTTGTGTGTCAGCTACTGTCTCTTGCCTGTGTGTGCCCTGTTCTGCATGCTGCAGGCCAGGGATGCAAAAACTGCACCATCTCTGCTAGGCTCCTCAGCAGCAGCTCTCCAGTGGTCCAGACAGTGGGAAGAGAGATAAAGGTGTCTCCTGGCTCCCTGGGCTCCAGGTGGGTTGCTGTAGTGGCTATCTGTGCCCCTCAGAAGTTGCCATCTCCTAGATGGCCACCAGCCCTCAGATACTTGATCCCCACTCAGTACTCTTTAACCAGCACATGCCTCAGGGGCTGACCCTGCATTTAGGCTCTCCCCTGAACAACCACAGGCCATGGACTCTGTTCCAGAAGATGTCTGCTTCATGGGTGTCCTTTTTTTGTGATGCCTCAAACCTGTCAATAGCTGCTTTAGGTCTGCGTTGCTTCTCCCAATTGGTCACTACCAAAGTCCCGAGTACAGATCAGCGCACATGCACACTCACCACATACCTTCCCAGTTATGATGTCCACATAGGAGAGGGTGTGTTTCCTCCAGTGCTCCCCAAATGGCCTCTTCTGCTGTCCCTGGATGGGCTTGGAGTAATCGTACTCATCAATCCGCACCTGAAATCAGAAATGCATCCACCTCTTAGCATTCATTCAGGTCATGTGAGAAAATGAAGCAAACATTAAAACCATGCACAAGAGATGGCACAGAAGGTGGACAGCATTGGCAAATTCAGGACCTGATGATGATGAGGACCTGTGGGTTTTTGTAGTCTGCAATGAGTCCAGCATCCATTTCTACATTTTCCTCTACAACTCGAGGTGAATATTGGAATTAGAATCATTTATATACCTAAAACTTTATCAAATAGTTTCTTTCTGTCTCACACCCTGCCAACTTTCATTTTTATTTAAACATTTTAACTTTAATAATTATATTAAAATATCAAGAACTCAGAGTAGCAGAATTCTAGTAAGGAAAACCCTGCTTCAGGTAATGGTTAAGAGTAAGAGCCTCTTCTAATAAAATCCCTGAGACCCAAATAGTTGTCTGCTTCTGCTGAGTGAATGTGTGGGGAGCAGAGGAGAGGCCCTTCCACTTTCCGAGGGCCAGTTGGGCTCCCACATAGTTCCTGAGCTGTACATACACAACTGTAAGATGAGCTTCCCCAGGGTACCAGGTTCTGCCTCATACTTCAAATTCATTCATTTCAGCCCAATAGTCAAGCCTGGAGAAGCTTCCAGCCTCAGTAAATATTTGGAGATATACCTGCCATTTCTTCCTTTATCTACCCGGTTATTGCTGGATATATCAATAAAACTTCACAGTAAATGGAAACCACTCTTGTTTAACCAACTTTCTTGTCATCTATGTCACCCTGCATTGTATTGGGCCAGAGCCTTTGTCTGTCTCACAGGAAGTCTAACCCTTCAGTCGAAGCATTTCTCCTGACCTTCCAGAAGCCCTACATGCAGAATTCTGAAAATACTAGTAAGCTCTATACTTACTAGTCTATCTGAAAAGGGTTCCAATCTCTTTCTCAAGCTCAAATCAGGTATAAGGTGATGTCTCACCCAGCACTTGAATTTAACAAGTTATCATTTCCTAGCCATGGAACCCTCAGCCCACTAAGAATGAGGTATATTTTGCTTCGATACTCTACCAAGGCAACAAAAAAGTCACATGGTTCTGAAGTCAGTGAGAACAAAAGCAAAAGTTACAGAAAGAAATTAAGTACAGAGTACAGGAGATGGGTGGCAGCCCCAGGAATACATCAAGTACACAAGCCTATCTCCACGCACCTTATAATCTTCCCTGGCGTGGGCACCTCGTGACTCCTTCCGCGCCTCTGCTCCATAGATGGTCTGCAGTGCACAGAGCATCAGGTTCTGCAGCTCCAGGGTCTCCACCAAGTCTGTGTTCCAGACCATTCCTGGGGACATACAAGGATCCATGAGAGGCGGACAGGATCCAATTACAGGGGCCTGGTCCAAGAGCTATGGGCAGAGCTACCCAGAAGCAAACACAGAACTCAGCCAAGCAAACAGGACTGACAGGAAGCCCCCTGTAGAGGGTATGGGCCCACGCTTTTGGCTAACCTCTGTCAAATGTCTTCAGATGCTTCAGGTCTCCATAGAGGTGGCTGATTTTCTCACAGCCTTCTTGTAGCACGCTTTCCACACGGAACACTGCAGCATGATTCTGCATTGTCTGTTAACAGGCATCAGCAGCAAACTTTTAATCCCCAGAAGCCATGTCAGAAAACTGTTAAAGCCTTTAGCCTAGTTTTCTTGTATTTCATTTTATGTAAACACATTTATATAAACAGATAAACTCCCCAATGTATATCTGTGTGGTTCTTTAGGCACTACAGTGGATTTACTCACATGTGCCATGCAAATGCTCTACCACTGAGCAATATCCCTAGTCCCTCTATTGTTAAAAAATTTGAGATGTAACCTCTCTAAACTGTCCAGGCTGGTCTTAAACTTGTGACACACCCTCCTGAGTACCTAGGATTTTAAAAACATGTGCCACCACACCCAGCTTTTGAATTTTAAAATGGAATTGTGATTAAAACTTTTAAAAAATGTTTCCATAGGGCCAGGGATTTAGCTCAGTGGTGACACCACTGGCCTGGCAAGTACAAGGTCCCGAGTTTGATTCCTGGTACCAAAAAAATAAAAAATGTTTCCATCATTTCATTCTATACAGTACCTGTCTCCTAAGAAATCTGCGTACATCACCAAGAGGAAGATTTTACATATCTGGCAGCAGTTTATGGAACACAGCTAAATCTAGGTGGACTTCCCAAGACAGGATGCTTTGAATGGTGCTCAGTGAACCAGGCAATTGCTAATTCCCTTCTATGAAGACACAGCAGCCCCAGGCAGATCCTGGAACACCTGATGCTCTGGGTCTATGATTAATGTGACACAGGCCTGCAGCACCCCCTTGTGATGCAAACTAGGATGTACTTAGAAGATGCAGTGGGCAGTGGCAGGTGCAGAAGTGGCTCAGAGCAGAGGGAGTAGGAGTAGAGGCCTTAAAAACTTTAAGAAACCTTAAGCCCTGGCCCTTCACAGCGACTGGGGCTACTGATCCTCTGATTACTGTTAAGCTCCTAACATTCAGGTGTCTTTACAGTTTATGTTTATGACCATAATACATATGCCGGGAAACAAACCTCAAATTCACTCTGGTATACTGAGAAGCAGTCGGGCACCCTTGACCTGCTGTCAAATGCACAGGGGCACCTGCTGAATGAGATTCTCTACTCACAGCGTCATGGACAGTGGCTTTCTTCTGGGGTCTCCTTTGTTCCACTGACCTGAATGTCTCTTCCTCTACTGGTATCAGACTAATGAAGCTTTAAATGGGAGACACTTCATCCAACATTCTTTAGAGTGATACGTAATTGTAAAATCGTAATGCACTCCATCCCTAATGATTTCGTAGGACAAGTGACAAAAACTGTGTTTCAGAATTTCGTAAATTTTAAACATTCTTTCTTATTTTAAATTTTTTAGTTTTTGCCTGTACTGTAATTACTGGTTTATGGGAGACTGGTAACTGAAATATTAAAAGCTACTGGTTTCTATACATGAATTTTTTTTACACACAAATATTTTATACAGACATCTTACTATTTTGTTTGTTTTTCAGTTTATGTTTGGGAATTTTTAGGTAATCATACCAACAAGTAAACACAATTTTGCTGATTATTTTTCAACATATATTTCTTGGATGCCTTCTGTATAAGCTACAGTCAGCATAAAAACCACTTCCTCCACAGAAGTGAATTTTCCTTGAGTACTGGGACTCTCGGCTGTTTGTTGGGTGACTCCACTTCCAATGGTGCCTACATTCAGCAGGTTGGAGGCTATGTCTTTTGGTTAGAAGGTAATGACTCTGGTATTTCCATCTCAAAGCATCTCATAGGTTTCTGTCTCTATATCCAGTGCAGGCTATCAAGAAATGCAATGATTACACTTGTCCTAGTTGGCTTCTGCCCTAATACCAGCACCTGTGCAGTCCTATTGAGCATAACTCAGCCTACTTCTGTGCCTCACTGGTGCTACTGTTCTCAAAAAGCCTCCTGAAGCATCGTCCCTCCAGAAGACAGAAGTATACAGTCCTTTGAGCAAGGTGAGGAGTAACTTTTGTTCCCTTTGGTGTCTGTGTTCATGTGTCATTGGGCCTCTTTAAGCCCAGTGTCATCAATCAGAAAAAAATTAAGGGTTTCTTTTTAGAAAAACCCACATGGCAAAATTACCACAAAAAACCCTAATTAGAAAGAACTCTCATTCACGGACCAAGAATCCCTGTTCCATTTTATATGTTATTTTTTTACTGGTCTAAGCTTATGCTTTCCAATGCAGAGCGAAACATAATTTATATTAAAACTGAGATAAAGTGAAAATTGAGTTTCTTAGACTGACCACATTTCAAGAGTGTCTTAGCCCCTGTGGTTGGTGGCTATTATCCTGGACAGCAAAGGCAGGGGACACTCGTACCACCATAGAAGGAGTGCCAATGGAGAAAGTGAACCTGTAGCTCACACCCATGGTCCTTCTCCCTCTTCCTGATTTCCTTTAGGTACAGCAAAGGGCCCAGTGTAAAGACATTTCCTGAGTGGTTGGAAGCTGGGTGAGGTGACAGTTACTTCTGTGCCAACAGGATATAAGCTCAGATGCTGTACTGACTCTAGGAGGTATGGCATATACCTCTCCCTGCTGTTCCTCCTTCTGGATGTGAGATACATCACAGCCAGGGCTGATTTTAGGATGGACACCAGGCTCAAGCCTGCCAAAGAAGTCACAACCCTAATGCTAAACAGCTGCTACTTCTGCCTGGTTTGCTGACCTCCAGCCTTCTGTGTTGAAAAGAATGCATTTTTGTCTATGTGAGGTCTCCTGACTTCTCTTGTATTATTATTTGAGACAGCAAGGAACATGGGCTTCCTGCTGTTTGCCCCACATACCCCTGTGGGCAGCTGTGCTGGCATCTGTTCCTACCTTTTGCATATTGAGACGCAGTTCTGATGTTCTTATGCTTCCATCAGCAAATCTCAACTTGTCAAGATTCATGACAGACTCTTCCCCAGCATTTGGTTTAATTGGAGGGACTTTATCTCCTAAATAAATAAAAAGGGGAAGGAGGCTAGAATTTAACTTTTTAAAAACATTTCAGAAAACTATATGGTCTTAGAAAACCAGATTGATCTGATACTCAAATGTATATCAGAGCCTTGCCAGGACTTTGGGAAGCATGGTGCAAGCTCAGCCAGCAGTGACCTGGACACCAAGCTGAGAATATCTGATCTGGGGCTAACTTGCAAAACAAAGAGAAGATTCCTGGAACACAGTGGGTGTCCAACATGTAATCCTTGAATGATCAAAGAGAAACCGTGTCTGAACTTAAAAAAATGGATTTGTGGTACATGGAAACACATTTTTATTAGGAATGTATGACTAAAAAGTAGCATTTAACAATAAGCAAGTAACTGATTTATACCAATTAGAAAATAGAATGAAAATAAAATATCCCTTGCTCAGTGGCAACGAGAAGTACATTTTGAGGAACAAACAATTGTTTAATGAAACTTCTAAGGAGAAAATTATAACTGTCCACTGAAGGCCACTGAAGGAAACTGGAAAAATGGGAGAGAAAAATCTTGGTCTTAGATAGGAAAACCCAAGACTATTCTTCATTCTACCTAAATTAATTTGTTTCTTCTTAATTCTTGGCATAAGCATTACTTTTATAGAGTAAAAACAATAAAAACTTCCTTTAAAAAGATCAGCCAAAACCCATCCTGTCCCTGAGATGGGAGCCATGACCCAATCCTTTGCTGTGTCACTTCTCTAATAGAGATGACTTATATTTTGTTTTAGATCACAAATTTTCCCAAGAAGTTACATAATCATTTATCTCTACCATTTAAAATATTTCACTGCAAGTAAGTAATCTCTACCAGGAAAGTAGCACATAATAAACTTCCCTTCAAAACAACAATTTCCTAGTTATGACTTTTTAAGCACAGAATAAAGCTCATGTCTAGTCTCAACATCATCACCATACAATCTCTGGACTTCTGTTCCTCACTTCTAGAGGAAAACTAGACTATGTACTTCTATGGGCACCAAGTATACTATTAACAACAATGAAGATTCCTGAAGAACCCTGCTGCTTAAAGAGAACACACACCTGGCCTGCAAGACTCTGCGATGCTCAGGGCACAGGCCCGTCCAAAGACTACCAGGTCCAGAAGGGAGTTTGCCCCAAGCCTGTTGGCACCATGCACTGAGGCACAGGCGGCCTCCCCACAGGCATAGAGGCCAGGCACAACCTGATCCTGGCCATTCACATGCTTCAGCACCTGCAGGAAAAATTTCAGATTAGACTAGCAGGTGTTGGGGTTGACACAGGTTCCCCAACCCCTGAATGGGCTTCTCAGCTTGAGGTAGGGAAGACCACGACTGCTCTCTCAGAGGGAGCCCTTTGGTATATCCCCAGCTCCCCTCCTCCTTTGAACACTCACTATGTTAAGTCAAAGGACCCTGTGTCAGTATCTGTGGCCTCTCCCCCAGGTTCAATGTACCCAAATCCTCCCTTGAACACGTGGCTTGGCCACTGTAGTCTTGGCTCACACTAAGACAGCATAGCAGGCAGAAGGCCATCAATGGGGAGGAAGACTGAAGGGTATCCGCAGACCCTTCCACTCATGTCTGATCTGTGAAGGGAGAGAAATAATCCTCCCAACCCTGACCAGGAGACCAAAGTGGAGGACACTAACCTATGTACCAATCGTAAAGACCACAGACTGACAGTTCCTGTAAAAATAACAGAGATCCATCTGGAAAGTAACAAAAACTGCTCATGATACCAGATCTATAGTGGAATTAATACTCTATTGGTAATGAACTGTTATTATCAAGTGAATGCAAACTTTGCAATCTAACCGAGGCTCTGCCTGCCCTCCAGAAATAGCAACTTACAGTAAGTGGAAACTACCAAGTAATACTGTATGTTTTTATCTTTGCCTCTGAGAGCTAAGGGTAGCAAACAGGTGGACCTGGTTTCTTTACCTGCCCCTTATAGTTGGTGGGAATCCCACCCATATTGTAATGCACAGTGGGGAGGACTGGGATTGGCTCCTTGGTGACGTCCACACCAGCAAAGATCATGGCTGTCTCTGACATGCCAGGCAAGCGTGTGGCCAGCTGCTCAGGGGGCAGATGGTGTAGCTGCAGGTAGACATGATCTTTCTCAGGGCCACAGCCTCTGGCAAAACAAAATATTTTAACGTAAGGCAAAGAACAGCAACAAGAGCAAACATTCATTATCAAAACATGTGAATTCAACATTTTTTGTTATTGAAGAAAAATTTACCATATGGTTGCTCTTTCATCAAGTATTCGTTAAGCATCTACGGTGTGCCAAGAACAGATACAAAAACTCTGCATTCAATAAGCTCACACTTCAGTCTTGACCAAACTTTGCTATATTTTTCTTGGTAAATGCATTAAAAGTCCTCTGTATCAATTACTCCAAAAAGTCATCTAACTCTTCATTTTTATATAAAAAACAAAACCTACACAGGCTACACGAGCAGGCACAAAACATGTCATTGTACTGAGAAACAGGGTCAGAGATGAGTGTAGCAGTGTATAATTATAATCCTAACACTTCGGAAATTGAGGCGGGAGTATTGCTGTGAGTTTGAGATCAGCTTGGGCTACATAGTGAGTTCAAAGCCCTTCTGAACTGTATAGTGAGTGTCTCAAAAAACCAAAAGAACTGGGTCAGGCACTAGGAGCCTGGAGTTTTCACTAAGGGACAGGTAATGTCATAATCCAAGGGCTGCAAACACCTGTTTGCATGAGTTCTATAATACAATTCCTAAGGCTCACACACCAACTTCAGGCTGGTGCATCTCTCTTTCCCAATCACGTATTTCTCTTATAGACCTGATGTGAGAAAGATTTACACTTAACTGGCTAAAATTCCCAAAATGTAGTAGAAAGATTTCACAAACTCAGGGACAACAGTGAGAGGATAACACGTAACTTTATCCTGTGGGTAGACGCCAATACCTGCCACAAAGGTCAGCGTAGGGTGCTCAAACTGCGAAGCTACACAGCCCAGATGTTAAAATGTAGAAGTGACCAACAGACAACAAAGAAGTGAAGGAGCAATGGTGAGCCCAGGTGCCTGAGTACCCACTGGAACACACTCATACACATATGGAAGTGAATCACACACACCTTCCTTCACGGATCTCCAGAGTCATAGATCGAGATACGATGTCTCGGGATGCCAGGTCCTTTGCGACAGGCGCGTATCTCTCCATGAACCTCTCACCCTCACTGTTAATGAGAATGCCTCCTTCTCCACGACATCCTTCTGTGATGAGACAGCCAGCACCATATATGCCTGTAAAAAGACCAAGTCACCACATTAAGTGAACATTTGTTAGGTACATGTTTCAGATGCCTAATTCTTTTTCAAGATATGTGTGGGCTTGGGACATGGACAGACAGGAGGACGACAGGACAATGGGCATTATACTTCAAAACACAGTGAGAAAAAAGTCAACAAGAGTAAGTGTGTACAAAAAGCACTGGAGGGGAATGTACAAAACAGGTATAGGAGGAAAGGAATCACATAGTGATAGAGTGCTGCCCAGGACTGACTAAATTCCAAATGTCTTTTTTTTTTGTACCAGGGATTGAACTCGGGATCTTGTGCTTGCTATGCAGGCAGCGGAACCACTGAGCTAAATCCCCAGCCCTAATGTCTTGACTTTAATTTTTTAACATACTTTTGTTCCTTGAACATGATAACTTATTTAGGCAGAGATAACCAGCCTGGATAATTCTTATTGAAGGAACTCAAATAGCAAAAAGGACATATACTATTATCATTACTTATATTGTACTTGCTATGAACAGTCCTAGCTGCTGTACACAATTTTGCTTACTATGTTCTATGAGGGACCTGGATAATATCATCTCCATCCTCAGAAATAAACAAGTTAAATTAAAGCTGTATAATTCATTTGAGTCACACAACTGCAAAGGCCAGAGTCCAAATTCAAGTTTTTACAGTGTGTTCTGTACTTTTAACCATGACTGAGTCCTTGAACTTAAACAAAAAATGAATAATGCCAAGTCTCAAATTTTAACAAAAGATGCCAGTAAGTAAGTACATAAATGCACATGACTTGAAAGTTAAATCTTTCTTAAGTACACGAAAGGTTTCTGGTTTTTTTTTTTTTTGGTACTGGGGATTGAACTTGGGTCCTTGCACTTGCAAGGCAGGCCACCGAACTGCTGAGCTAAATCCCCGGCCCCACGAAAGGTTTTTATATGCATTAAAAACAAGAATGCTGATTCTTGTTTTTTACCTACTTTTTGTTTTCCCTGGCCTCCATGGCATTTTTGGGTGGTCTGTTTCTGAAATTTGAAGGAAGCATAAGAAATGGAACCCTCCAAACAGCACTTCACAGAGGAAATGCATAGGCTCAGTGACAGTTTACTGGACGACAATAACAACAACAACAACACTTCCAATATATGTTTCATCCCTGCCAGGGATCAGAAGGGAAATACCATCACAGCAAAGAGCTCTAGTTCCTTGGTATCACCTGGGCCTTCTAAGCTCCATGTCAAGGCAGCAGCCCAGAGAGTGCAGGACCAGTCACCCCTGTCACCCCAGCCTGCCTTCTGCAGACTCACTTCTGGACAATATCCCCTAATTTGTAAATGCAATGGTCACCTTCGGACTCCACACTTGCATCAACTGTGTGATGGCCCAGGAAAATCTCGCCTCTCTATGTTGAGCTCCCTATCTGTCACAGCTTTATCCTAACTTCATGAGCCTTAGAAGAGGGGCCTGATGTTTTTGCCACGAAACAAATCCATCCTAAACTGCCTTCAATCAGGAAGAAATCTTCTTGAGGACCAATGTGTACCTGTACCTGAAACTGTTAAGAACTATGTAGGAACCATACGTTTACAAGACACAAATAAGCCCACTGCCAGGCATGGCATCATGTCCTACCTGTGGGATGGAACTGCACAAACTCTAAGTCCTGGCAGGGAAGGCCAGCTCTGGTAATCATGGCTGTGCCATCACCAGTGCTGGTGTGGGCAGAGGTGCAGCTGAAGTAGGTCCGCCCATAGCCTCTGGAAATGACAAAAGTGCAGTGACTACACACAGCAGCAACACCAGGACTTCCCGACTCAGAGGACCACAGAACCTACAGAGCAGCCTCACGTGCTGTTTGCATACACCCTGCTCTATGCACATGCTTGTGCATATACCCCATACAATGTGAAAGTGAAAGGCCATTCCTGTGACCCTGGGATGAAGCACAGGGGGACAGAGAAGGGAGGCTCATTTGTACTTTGGTACTTCATGCCATTTGAATGATTTCCCTGCTAAGTGAGTGTGTGTATGTACATGTATGTGTGTGTATGCATATATGCATATATGTGTGTGTATACACACACACACACACATTTTTTTTTTAAAAGACAGGATCTCACTCTAGTTCAGGCTGACCTCAAATTCACAGTAATCCTTCTGCCTTAGCCTCTAAAGTGTTAGGATTATAGGTGTGTCACTACATTTGGTAAGTGTATCTTATTTCTATATTGAAAAATTTTAAAGTATTTATGGTTTTAGGCTTTTAAAAAATCCCCCCCCCAGCTTTACTGATATGATTGATAAAAACTGTATGTGTGTCTGTAATATTTTGTATCTAGATGCACTTCCCCCCAAGCCTCATGCAGCAATAGGTAGGGCTTTTTGAGGGTAGCTGGATCTAGGACGGTGCAATGCCAGGATCAAGGCTGCCCCACTCTGGGTGTGAGTCTGCATAGGAGATAAGGGGCAGAAAGAAGGTTGTTGCTGTTTGCTTGCTGCTTTTGCTGCCTTCTGCCTGTCACAAACTATTTCTCCTCTGTGATGTTCTTTTGCCATGCCACCTTGTCTTAGAGCCAGGCAACTTTGGACTGAAACTTCTACAAACTGTGAGCTGAAATAAACTTTTTCTCTTTTAACTTTGGGTGTTGGATATTTCATCTCAGCAATGAGAAAAGTAACAACAGTGTCCAACATGATGATTCAAGTGTATACGCTGTTAAGTGACTATGACAATCCAGTCAATTAACATCATCATCTCACATCATCTTTTTGTGGTGAGGATTCATAAGCCTCTGAGTAAATTTCAGGTACATTGTTATTACCATAACCCGTATGCTACATGCATTAAGCCTCAGAACTAATTCATCTTGTGATTTAGATTTAGACCTCTAGCTAAATCCCCACACCCTTAGCCTCTGGCAACCACCATTTTATTGTTTCTGAGTTTAACTTTTTTTTATTTTATACAAAATTAAGACCATGCAGTTTTTTTGGTGTGTGTGTGTATGTCTATGTGTGTGTGTGTGTGCCTGGCTATCTCACTTAGCACAATGTCTTCCAGGTATATCCATATTGTCTCAAATAACAAGATTTGCTTCTTTCTTATGGCTAATATTCCAACGCCTATATATAAAACACATTTTCTTTATCCATCAATAAACAGTCTGCTTATCTTGGTGATGATGAATAATACTATAATGAATATGGAAACGTGGGCGTGGATATATCTCCAGGATATGCTGGCTTCACTGACTTTGGATACATACCCAGGGATGAGACTGCTAGATCATATGTAGCTCTATTTATAGTTTTTGAGGAACTCCACACTACAATTTACATGCCCAGTCTATGAGAGTTCCCTTTAAGTCCATATCAACACTGGTCAGTCTCTGTCTTTTTGCTATTAGCCAGTCTCACAGGTGGGAGGTATTATCTCCTTGTGGTTTTGGTTTGAATTGCCCCTCACTTGTGATATTGAGCACCTCTTCAAAAACCTCTGGGCTATGTGTATGTTTTTGGAAAAATGTCTATTCAGGCCATATGCTCATTTTTCAGTTAGGTTGTCTGGATATTTCTGCTGTTCAGTTTTATGAATTCATTATATATTTTGAATATTAACCTCTTATTAGGTAGGTATGTACTTTGTATTATAATCTAATCTGTTGGCTGCCTTCTCATTTTGCTGATTGCTCCCTTTGTTATCTAAAAATTTCTTAATTTTAAAAATGGTAAAATTAGTGTATAAAGTGAAATTTAGTTATTTTTAGCATGTGCATAAACAAGATGTTTCTATTCCAGGAGTTGGTATCCACAGTAACCATGAAAGCCAGAAAGGCAACCCCAGAACACATCCTGTGACTCGCCAGGTATTTCCTCACCTTGAAGGAGGAGACAAGACACGTGATTCTCAGTGCCTTCCTGCTGCACCCGGTGACAGTCTCTGATATGACTGAGGGGTGCACTGTGCTCCTGCTACCTCTACTTCCATGAGATGAGGTGCCAAGGACTGGGAAGATCACCTCTCTTCACAAGCTTTTATGAAGACATATGTCTGAACCATTATTCTAGAATACCCACATTTTTATTAACGAAACACTGAAATTCAACTTTTCTATAAAGAAATGAAATACAATAAAAATTAGATTCATACCCAGTAGCAACAACAGTGTTCTTTGCTCTTAGGCGATGTATGGACCCATCTTCTATGCACAGTGCAATCACACCACGGCATTCCCCATCTTCCATCAAGAGATCCAAGGCAAAATACTCTACAAAATAGCTGGTATCATATCGCAGAGACTACAAAAAAAAAAAAAAATTGTAATTAATGCAAGTATTAAATCAAAAAACACTTAAAATGTGAATGATTAAACCACGTGAACACATAGAGCTTGAGCCTGATGTTAACAGACGAGGTTAAGTCTAAGGAGATGTTGGAGTTAAAACAGTTACAAGTTGCACCTCACATTGAAATCAGTGCCTATGACACCGTAAAAACACAAAAAAGCACTCTACTTTTAGTACTACACAGAAAATGTATGAATAATGTAAACACATGACAACATGTGTCACAAAATAAAGCAGGTTCTGAACTGTTCCACGTTGGCAAGACATGCCTTACTTCAACACAACCTTCCCAGGCATTCCAGCTCTCCTATGCTGCATGTAGCAATGAATGCCCTAGGAATTTGGTACCACAACGAGTGAGGCCAGGGACCACAGGGTCATGACCCAGACCAGTTACTGGCCACATGTGGTAACTTTGACAATGAAAATAAAACATTCAATTCAACTTCTCAGGCACACCAGTTAAAACTGCAATGGCCACACAGGGCTAGTGCTGGCCCACTGGAACAGTGCAGATAATCCCACTTCCAAACCCACAGAGGTCAACACTGGACAGCACTCCGGTGCTGGTCTAACACTCCCCAGATGAATATAAGTGGCCCTTGGAAACTTGGGCCAGCCCCCAATCAACAACTCTAGGATAGGGAGGTCCTGCCACACTGTCAATGTACTCAGCCACTGGGAAGCCACTGGTGTCCTAACACCTGCTCTGTCCTTCTGCTAACAACAGAGTTCATAATGGGTCCTGACTGCCTAATGACTGCTGTCCCTCAAAGTTATCCTCCACCTTTAAAGCTAAGTATTAAAACAAATGAGACAGCCCAGGAACCCCAGTAGTAGTAGAAGAACCTTAGCATATCTGCTGTTCTCGCATTTGGAGTATGAAGGACCAAAGGTTCAACCTGGTATTCAACAATTACTGAGTCAATTTTCAAAAACAGACAGAATAAACAATATATGGTTTATCATAGCATGTCTAGTACTTTCATATTAACAATTAACATACATGTCTTATAGTTATTCTTCATTGCTTATTAAGCAATGCCTGGGCTGACTCCCTGTTGTCTTGAGCCATCACCACAGTCACTACTTGTCTCACCAGACCATGCCCCTTCATGTCCTGGTCACAGGTACCTCACCCTTCCATACAAGGTGTGCAGGAGTGAGTGGCCAGTCCGATCAGCCACACAGCAGCACCGGTGGGCCTGTCCGCCCTTCCCAAACTTGAGGCTCTGCCCACCAAACGCACGCTGGTAAATCCTCCCATCTTCAGTTCTGCTAAATGGCATGCCATAATTTTCTAGCTGTGAAACAAGAACAAACAAAAGCCTATTACCTTATAGAAGTGAAGGTGGCTAATTTTCTCTAAACAACTTTAACACAAATCTACAAAATCCTTATTAACATACTCTTAAAAAAAATCAATAGAAAAAAGTTTAAGTAAACTGAACAGTTACACAGAAGTTTTCTTTGTTAGCTCAGCTCATTGCCATTCATTTGGCTGCCTGAATTCCTTCTACTTTTTCTTTTTTTATAGTACTAGGGATAGAACTTGGCCATCCTTCTATTTTTCTCCAGGACTTCTTTTGCATTATAAACAGACTATGCCTGAAAAGATCTGAGACCTTCTGGTACATTACCTCAATCACAGAGGCAGGGGCCTGCTCTGTCATGTAGTGGATAGCATCCTGGTCCCCCAGCCAGTCAGAGCCCTTCACAGTGTCATAGAAGTGCCATCTCCAGTTGTCCTCTTCCATATTCCCCAGAGCAGCATTGATTCCTCCCTGGAAACACATTCACTCCTTGTAAGCCATGAGTGGAGCCCCATTTACATTTTCTAGTTCTCATCCCCCCAGAATCTGATTCAGGTCCTTGTGCAGTAGACCTCTGTGAGGCTGTGACAGCAGGCAGTACAGGTCCCAAGCCACTACTCTCCCATGACTAGCCTGGGTACTTAATCTTTCTCTAAAATGGAGGTGATGCAGACCTTCCAAGGGCCTTCAAAGACCTAAGGAAGAGGGCACAAATGCACCCAAGAAACCTATTTTTATGACAAAATGCTTCTGACAGTATTTATAGGAATGTGACACATACCCTGTATCCCATTTCCTTTGATTGTATATAGACAGCATCCCATCCCACCCTTAAGGAGCCAATGAATTTGGCAGTATAGGGACAAATGAAATTCTTATCCTCTGCTTCCCCAAATTTTGATTCCTATTCTTTATTTTTTTTTTCCCCTGGTATCAGGGATCAAACTCAGTCACATCAGGGGCTGTCACTAGGTGACTTGCACTTGTGAGGCTGGCGTGGCACCACTGAGCTAAATCCCCAGCCCTTGATTCTTATTCTTTAGATAATCTCTTTTTCACCACAGCACAATGATATGATTTGAGTTTGTTCTCCAAGAATTCATGTATCAGATGCTTGGTTCTCCAGTGTGATGAAGCTAAGAGCTACAGGGACCTTTGGGACGTGGTCCCCTTGGAAGTTACAGAGGTAGTTCTCATGGGATCCTGGGTAGTTCTAGCTAAAGAGTCACAAAAGAGCAAGGGCGCCCCCCACCCATTCTCTGGCTTAATATTTTGCCATGTAATCTCTTTCACATGTGTACTACGATCCTCTCCACCATGAAGGGATGCAGCCAAGCAAGCCCTTACTAGAGGTCAAATGCATGGTGCTGCCTAATCTTAAGCTTTTCAGCCTCCAGAACTGTGAGCTTTACAGACCTTTTTCTCTATATAGTATCCTTCTTTGGATATTTTGTTACAGCAACAAAAAATAAACTAACGTATATCTTATAACTTCCCTCTCTTCTTTCCAATTGTTCAATCTCAACTTTTGAGTCAAGCAGGCCCAAGCTGAATTCCTTACTGAGTATCACTATGCCTCAATATCCTCATTTAGGATACCTTTCATTTAAAGAAACTTATAGCAACAGAACAAGTTAACTTTCTTTCCATCCTCTAACCCCTTCAGCTTTTATAAACCCAAGATAATCCTGATTTTAAAAAATGTTAAGTTCGATAATAATAGAAAAATACAGAGCTAGCTGAAAGAAAAGATTTAGTGTGGCAGGCACACAATCAATGCTAGCTACTATGAAAACCAGGGTGCAGACTGATTTCTAAGAGTTCCCAGTTCTCTCTGACTCCCACCTAGTTTTACTCTTCCCTTGGTTAAAACTTCTCAAGAGCTGGCTTCAAGCTGAACTATTCTCTTTCCACTCCTGTTCACTCATGTGTTGCCTTAACATTTATTAGAGTAGTTAAAATGACTGTTCATAACTATTTTTCCTTGTAGACCATGATTACTTCAAAGGCGTATTCATTCTTTGGCTTACAGCTTTAAAATAAGTTATCTATGTGGTGAAGTTCCTGAAGCTTGTGGTGGAGGCTGTTCCCAAGATCAGGCAGTGCTTTTCCTGACTCATAAAAGCCATTATACACCCTGTCTTCCCGGTGAGAAAACAGTCCAACTATCAGGTCAGTCAAAAATGACTTTGGAATGCTACCTGTATACATGGTTGGTGTTAACAACAGCAATCCAAGAATGACAGAAAACCATAAAACCACTGTAGTTTTTTCTAGTTTATTTTTATCTTCTCTATATTAAGAGTATCAAAGACACAGTTTTTCTATCCTGCACATCCATGTCATCATCAAAACTCATGGTTATCCATACTTAACAATGGATCTTGAGTGGCCCCCAAAGGCCATGCTAAAGGCTGTCTCCAGCCCACAGTGCAATTGGGAGGGGCTGAGACCTTTAGGAGGTTAGGCCACTAGACGTATGTTCTTGAAAGGGAAAGGGACCTTGTTGTCTGTCTGTGCCTCTCTTTCTTCCCCCAACTGCCATGCAGTGAACAGGTCTCTACCACATGTTCTTCTTATGATTCTGTCACTACAGGCCCAAAGCAACAGGATAAAGGACTATGAATTTAAATCTCTGAAACCATGAGCCAAAATAAACTTCTGTTTATAATGACTATCTCAAGTATTCTGTCACAGTAATGAACAGGTGACTAACAGAAAAAGGCCTGTCTTCTGCAAGCAGATTTCAAACCAGGTAAGTGCTGGGAAGGAACATGAACCACAGTGGGAGAAGGGTTAGCAGGAGGGATGGCAGATGTTCCAGCCTCACAAGGTTCCCAGGGAAGAGACTCCAGGCAGTGACCCTGAAGTAAGAGTAAGCTGAATTGGCACTGACAAATGTAGCTGCTGTCAAGTGAGGCAAAGGAAGCTGTACTGCACAGGACCTTGAGGAAACAACACTTTGTCTTACCTGTGCTGCAACAGTGTGTGACCGAGTAGGAAAGAGCTTTGTAAGGCATGCGGTATTAAACCCTGCCTCAGAAAGGCCAAATGCAGCTCGCAAGCCTGCCCCTCCAGCACCCACCACAACTGCATCAAATTCATGATCCACTACAGGGTACTGTGTTGAAATCTGGAAAAGAAAATTCAGCTGTTAACCACACATTCAACTGTGCCAAACATTAAAGCTACAGTCACAGCAGATTAGTCTGAAGAAAATGAGGTCAATAACCAAAAGGAATGAGCAAGTGCTATGCAGAGGGTTTGCACACTGCCCCAGAGCTGAATGCACACATACAATATGAGCCTCATGTGAAAAAGGGACCAATTATCAGATTTTATGAATAGCAGAGGGTCTGCTCAAGGGACTAAGAAACACACCATTAGCTGAAATGCTGCTTTAAGTAGAGGAATATCTTCAAATACCAACTTTCTAGAATGCTTAAAACCATTAAGACTGTCGTCTGTCAATTCTGCTCACCAAAGCAGAGAAAAGCAACAACATAATCAATATGCCTTCTCTAAACGTTCCCCCCCACAGTATCATTTTTTCCTTTTGTATCTCTGCCCATATACGGATTTGCTTAAACAAAGCTAAGCTTAAAATATAGTACAGCTAACAGTACAATGTTGCTTTTGTTTAGAATAGCACATTATAGGGCCAGGGATTGCTCAGTAGCAGGTACAAGGTCTTGAGTTCAATCCCCATACCAAAACAAACAAAACAAAACAAAAAACACATTATAGATTTATGACCAAGGTGTCAAGTAGTATTCAGGAACTACTGTGAGCTTATGATACAAGAACTTGTAAGCAAATCTCACTTGTTTTGTTTTTTTGACAGAGAGCAGAACATGCCCACTAAACAGGAAAACCTATACTTAGGTGGCTACACAATCTTACTCTTTTTAAAAAATTTTTATTTTTGAGACAGTTCTCACCATGTAGCCCAGGCTGGCCATGAACTCACTATGTAGCCCAAGCTGGCCTCAAATTCACTATGTAGCCCAAAATGGCCTTGAATTCACAACGATCCTTATGCCTCAGCCTCCTGAATCCTGGGATTACAGATGTGCACCACCATACCTGGTCACAATCTCATTCTGAGTGGAGATTCCATTAGCCATCACAACTAATATTACTCCATTGTTTTTTTGGTACCAGGGATCGAACTCGGGCCCTGGTGCTTGTCAGGCAGGTGGCGGAACCATGCAGCCAAATCCCCAGCCCTATTATCCTTTTTTATTTATTTGCTTTACTTGATCTAGACAGATTAAGAGCTACAAGCAAAAAATGCCAATATCCATGTTTATATTTACACTACTCTCCCTTTTTTGAGACGGGGTCTCATTATGTAGTTCAGGCTGGCCTTAAAATCACTATGTAGCCCAGGCTGGCCTGGAACTTGGGGCAGCCCTCCTGTCTCAGCCTCCTGAGTGCCAGGAGTAGAAGGCATGTATCTAAACAACAACCACCACCACCACCACCACCACGCCCAGCCAAGTAAGTATTACTGCACTAAAAATAATTTAAGCATGTAGGGCCAGGGATTTAGCTCAGTGGTTTCGCAGCCTGACTCACAAGCACAAGGACCAGAGTTCAATCCCCAGTACCAAAAAAAAAAAAAAAAAAAAAAAAAAAAAAAAAAAGCATGCAATGGATGCCCACGATAACTTTTCTTTAAATATGTGCAACACTCAAATACATTAAAGGAAACAGATTATTAGTCATCTAATTCAAGTAGACTGTTTGCAATGGAGCAAAAGAACATAAACTTACTGAATCTGAAACTTTAGAAGATGCCCTCTTAGTCCCGTTGACACTGAAGTGAAAGCCATGGGCTTGTGTCTGGAAGGCTGCTGGCCACTGCTGAGACACAAATGATGGTAGCGTCTTGAAGGAATGACAGAAGAGGGTCACATAATAAAATTGTCCTTCTAAATCACGAACTGTGATCCAGTTGCTCTTATTCTCCTAAAGTTGCCCTGGGATCCTCACCATGAAGAGCTGAACCAAGTCACAAGTATTAATCCCCTAGGTAACAACATCCCAACTTGGCATTCCAGGAAAAGCCTTCTGGGTAAAGCCTGTTTCCCAACAGGGCACTCAGACATGAAAAAGGCATTTTCTCTTCAGTATTTATTTATTTCATAATGGTAAAGAGGGGGATTGAACCCAGGGCGACCTGCATGCTAGGCAAGTGCTACATCTCTAAGCCTCTCTCCACCCTCCATTTTATTTTAATATAGGACCTTGCTACTGCTTAGGCTGGCCTGGTGATCCTCCTGCTTCAGCCCTCTGAGTAACAGAGATCACAAGCATGTGTCATAACACCTAGTGTGCAGTATCTTATTTTGCTTCACTTCATGGAGAACGGGAATGACATGTATGTCTCACTGTACTTTTGCAAATAAGAAACCATTCTTACTTGGCTCCATCTTAGACCTTAAACCGGAGCTTTAAATGTCTCAGGCCTAGTAGATGTTGGAAAAGGCACTAGTCAGTGATCAGGAGCACTCTATTCTGAATAAACTTCTGCTTTTTATGACACTTGGCAAAAGCCATCAAACTCAGAGGAAAGACTGGTGTCATCTCTCATTCTGCACACTTGGACCAAGCCCATAAGCTTTAGCCACACAGCTCTCCCTGGTGCTGCTTCCTCTGCCTGGCTGCCCCTGCCTTTTTTATGGCAACCTTCACAATTTACAATACCTCTGCTTACATGTCCTGTCCTATAAACACCTGCTCAAGAAAATTGGTTATTAGTGAAACTGCAACCTACTGTAAGACGTTCTTCATCTGCTAAGACTGGTCTGCTGTTGAGGGATATGGTCTCCATTTTGCAGGCTGCATTTTAGAGGACCAAAATAAAATGGAGAGACCAAGAAACATCCTAAAGAATGGTTTTAACCACCTACCAGTCCAATTATTTAGAAACAGGATGACCAAAAATTGCAGTTATTATAAGATAAAATAACATAAAAACAATACTTTTATCAAATTTATTCAATACAGGAATCTACTTGAAATGACACCTGCCTAAGCCATTCTCGGGATCATCAGTACATAAACAAGCACACTGCCAAATAATACTCAGCGTAAACTGTTAAGTGGTTAAGTTGTAAGTACACTTAGCAATAAGAAGAGGGGAGATGAGAGATGCTTTCCAGTATTCTGTAATTTGGAAGACACACTATTCTGTGAGGTTAAAGAAAATTTCCATAAGACAAGCAACTGGAGAGAACAAGGAGAATTTGGCAATATAAAATGAATGTGTTTTCTGTGAGTTGCAGGGACTCAGCCAGGGCTGGATGGCTGGACTGCCTCAACAAAGGCAGAGATGGGCTCCTACCTAAGGTTATTTATTGTACTTCTGTAAGCCACTACTGGCTGGCACAAACATTTCTTTTTTCTCATTGAGTTTATTGGTACATTTTAGGTATACAGTACAGTTACATTCATTATTGGGATCTTGTACCTTTATATGACAAGTCTTGGTTCTCATTTTTTCCCCTTATCCTTGCCCTCCCTTCACCCCCTCCTCCCCTCCCCATTTACAAACACTTTTTTCCATTTTCTCATATTTTTTTCTTTTCCCTTATTACCTTTCCCCTACCCTTCCCACTTTCCCTATACTTTTAGCCCTTTTCTTTCTATTTCACATTGTCAATTATCTCATTAGGATCTTATGTACTAGTATAGTTTTTCATACCAGAGAAACTATTCGGTATTTACACATGTGTGACTTATTTATTTCACTTAGGACTATGTCCTCAATATGTATCCATTTTCCTATGAATTAATCTAATTTCTCATTCTTTATGGCTGAGTAGTATTCCATTTTATAGAAAAACCACATCTTCTTTATCCGGTTTCCAACTTATGGGCAAATGGGCTGTTTTCAAGTTTTAGCTATTACAAACTGTGCCACTATAAACATAGGTGCACATATATCACTGTGATGTGATTCTTTTAATTCTTTTGGAAAGATACCCAGCAGAGGGATGGCTGAGTCATATGGAACCTCAAGTCCCAGCTCTTTGAAGTATCTCCATATTGATTTCCATAGTGGTTGCACCATTCGGCACTCCCACCACCAACGAAGAAGGGTTCCTTTCTCCCCACAGCCCCACCAACATTTGTTATTGTTTGATTTCTTGATAGCAGCCATTTTTTGTGGCACAAATATTTTTAAAGAAGAACTTTAACAGTTCCAATTACAAGGGCTGGGGATTTAGCTCAGTGGTTCTGTTGCCTGCCTCACAAGCACAAGGTCCCGAGCTCGATCCCTGTACCAAAACAAAACAAACCAATTACAAAGAAGTTACTTGGATTTTTAAATCAATTTCAATTGATAATGTCAGTCTTCAACTGTGTAATATCAAGTCCATTTCTTAGATTTTAGGTTTCTTTTTCTTAGATTTTAGATTTTTCTTCTTTCAGAAAATGAATGAATTATTTGCAGTACTTGGGATTGAAAAGGGCCTTTACACTGAGCTACATCCCCAGCCTCCCCACCCCACCCATATTTTGAGGGTTTTGCTAAGTCAGTAAATTGCCCAGGTAGAGCCAGAACTTGCAATGCAATTCTGCTGAGCTCTGGAATTATAAGGCCTGACTCACCACACCCAGCTCAGAAAAGAAATTTAAAAGTCTAAAACAAACAAGCAAACAAAAAACCCACTTCTGTCTTTATATGATTTTTCAATGGCAAAATCATATTTTAACAAAGAAGTCATGGGCTGGAGATGTCACTGAGTAGGAGAGTGCTTGCCTAGCACATGCACAAAAAATCCAAGTCACTAAACACTAAGGACCATAATACAAACGTTTGTGAAAATTCTGTGAACTCATTAACACAAAGGGGTGGTACCTGCTGCCTCAGCCTCTGGAGTGCTGCGATTACAGACATGTGCCACAACTCCTGACTTAATTTTTTTTGGAAGAGAAATTATCAAATTTTCTAACAGGATAACTTGAAAAAAAAAAAAAAAAAGAAAAATCTTCGGCAAAACTAAAACAATACTTAGACTTGTACAACAGCACCAAAATTTAGATGACTGAATTAGGTAATAGCGGAGAAAAAAGTGAGATGATCAGAAATACCATTATCTTCAATAAGCAAAGTGCAGTCCTCATGTGATAAAACATGCTTACAAATCATGGCTGAGAAACCAACTCCTAAATACAATCTATGCAATTATGGAAAGAGTAAGGATCTAAAAATAGGTGATATTGTGAAGACAAGGGAAGGGGAATTAGGTTAGCTTAAGTGAATTAAATACTCTTCTACTGAGTAGGAAGTTAATGTCTAAAATTTGAAAAACCTACATCACATAAACAGAAGCAATGAGAAAAATCACGATATACTTCAAATGACACAGAAAAAACCTTTGACAAAAATCCAACACCCATTCATGATAAAAACCCAGAAGAAAACAGGTAAAGAACATTACTTCAAACTGACAAAAGCCACTTATGACCAACCAATGGCCAACATCATATTAAATGGGAAAAACTGAAAGCCTCTAAAATCAGAAACAAGACAAGGATGTCCACTATCACCACTTCTGCTCAATATAGTTCTTGAAACATTAGAGCAATCAGGCAAGAGAAAGAAATTAAAGGGGTATATACAGGAAAGGAAGTCAAATTATCATTATTTGCAAATGACATATTTTCTACATAGAAGACCCAAAAACTTCCATCAAAAGACTGGTAGAATCAACAACTAAATTCAGTAGCATAGCACGATACAAAGTTAATACACAAAAATCAATAGCATTTCTGTACACAATAAACTGAGAAATTAGGAAAATAATACCATTCACAGTATCATCAAGAAAAATTAAATATTTAAGAATTAACCTAACCAAGGAAGTGAAAGACCTCAACAATGAAAGTAATAGTATTGCAAAAAAGATTAAAAAGGACATCAGAAAATGGAAAGATATACCCTGTTCCCAGGTTGGCAAAACCAACATTGTCAAAATGGCCATACTTCCAAAACTGATATACAGATTTAACACAATCCTAATCAAAATGCCACCAATAACATTCCTCACAGAACTAGGGAAAAGAAAACAATCCTAAAATACATATAGAACCAGAAGAGACCCAGAATGGCAAAAGCAAGGAGTAAACAAAAGGCATCACAACCCTGGACTTGAAGTTATACTACAAAGCTAATGTAGTGGCAGACTTGCAGTCCACAGTGTTGCAGCTCATAGTGGTTTAATGGGATCAGGGAAAGAAGAATAGAGAATGCACCCAGAGGTTGGAGGCAAATATCCAGCTTTATTTATGCCAATCTGCGATTTCTCCACAAAGCCATCAGCCCAGAGCTGGCAGTGAACAGGATTTATACGGATGGAGGGAAGAGGGGTAGGGATGTAGAAGCAAGGCATTTAAGTCATTGGTTGAGGAGGTTACATTTAGTTTACATGATTGGATAGAAAAGTACAATGGAATTTATCTCATTTGCATATGGCAGGAAAGTAGGGATTACAATCTGATATAGATGTTTACTGAAAACAAAAGATAATGAAGGAGGACATGCACAGACAAGCCTCAGACATGTTTTAGGTGTGGGAGGGGATGTGAGGTGGGGGTGCCTCTGTCAGTTAGGTTAGCTAGCCACAGGAAAACTTTTTGCTCAGAAATCATTTTTCCAGCTCTCTACAATGATAACAACATGGTTGGGGTGGGGTGGACAGGACATACATGTGTGTCAATGGAACAGAACAGAGGACACAGAGACAACTCCAGGCATATTCAACTATCTGATCTTTGACAAAGAAGCCAAAAACCTGCACTAGGAGAAGGTATCCTCAAATGGTAGGCAAACCCATTAACCCCATATGGAAGATTCATGATGATCCATATCTCTCATC